AGAAGGACGAGGGGGGACATGATAGCAGTGTTCCAGTATCTCAGGGGCTGCCACAAAGAAGAGGGAGTCAAGCTATTTTCCAAGGCGCCTGAAGGCAGGACAAGAAGCAACGGGTGGAAACTAATCAAGGAGAGAAGCAACCTAGAACTAAGGAGAAACTTCCTGACAGTTAGAACAATTAACCAGTGGAACAACCTGCTTCCAGAAACGGTGAATGCTCCAACACTGGAAGTTTTTAAGAAGAGACTGGACAGCCATTTGTCTGAAATGGTATAGGGTTTCCTGCCTGAGTAGGGGTTTAGACTAGATGACCTCCAAGGTCCCTTCCAACTTTATTATTATTACTATTATTACTATTACTATTACTACTACTACTATTACTACTACTATTATTATTATTATTATTATTATTATTATTAATAATAATAATAACCTCGTGTCCTATTTAGAGGTTTCTAGTCAAAGAAGGAAACTGCTCAATTGTTTCCAAATCGGAGGCATGGCGTGAGAGCTGATAAGAAATCCAGTAAAAAAAGTTATAAAAAAAGAACCAGGACCTTGCCATCTTCATTTGCTTACTCATTTGAAAATAGAGTATGGTTGTGCGGTTACTTTAAGCTTCTTTGCAATAACTCTTACTAATCAGAGCTCTTTCCCTACCCAAGATGCTATACAAGAAGCTCCACAAACTGAAGAGGATGTAGTTCTATGCCCATCCTACGTAACTATCAAAAAATGAGAAAAACAGGTAATCTAAGCAAGCACAGGTCCATACATGTGGTTTCTATAGTCACTTTTTGACAGTGAACTTTTATATCTAGTTCAGTCATTTAGTTGGGTTTTCTTTCTTTCTTTCTTTCTTTTTTCTTTTTTGCAATATCACACATAAAGATTCTGGACTTAAACAGAAGGCCCATAATACAAAAATGTTGATTTTTCTTAATGCAAGGAACTACTTAAGCTCAGCTTCCATTGCTAAAGCACTGCCCCTCCTTCCATAAATTAGAATCAAGACATGCATCAAAGCAATGATGAAATATGCATTTAAATGGGTGAACAGAGATCTTGCCCTGTCCTGATCATTGCTGAGTTAGGAAATTTTAATTTATCCATTTGAATCCGAGATGTGCTGCCTTTATTCTACATCCAAAAGCTCCCTAAGGTATACCTGGAAGATTCTTTAAAAAAGCATTAAAGAATAAGAGAGATACTCTGTGAGAGACACTCTGGTTATGGGCTCACTTCTTCCAGAAATCAGGTCAGCACCTGAGTTTTATTTCAATATTAAGATAAATCCAGGCTATTTTTCCCAAGCTTTTGAGATTTAGTGATTATAAAAACAGCTGATTTATTTTTACAGTTTAGTACTTCATTGCCTTACACCAGGCATGTCAAACTCACGGCGTCACGTGACGTCGTGCGCCGTATCGGAGCTTTTTCGCCATTGCCGGCAATGGGGTGGGCACGGCTCCGGTATGATGAAACCGGCCCGCGGGCTGGCAGTTTGACACCCCTGCCTTACACTGATCTGTTTTACTGACTGATATTGTCATGAGATCTATAATTCAAATACTCTTTATTTATTATTTGATCATTTTTATGGGTATGTATGTTATGTTTACCCTACTGCTGCTTTTAAGAAATTCTACTGTATTATTCAAAGATAAAACTCCCAATGCTATGTTCCTTTCTTTTAGCCGTGGGAAGCCACCTATACTGTTCCTTTAGAGCAGAGTTCCCCAAACTTTCACAGTTGGTGGCCCAGAGCAGGGGGAGGGGGGGGGAAAAAGGGATTTTGTGGGTGGTAAATGCATGCACACGCATGTGCACACACACACACACACACACACACAATTGCTCATGTGAGTGGGGCCGTGAGCACTCGTGTGAGTGGGGCTGCGAGTTCCCATGACGCTCGTGGTGATGGGAGTGCTCGCGCATGGGGCCACAAACACCCACGATGCTCGTGGCGATGCTCGTCTGAGGGGGCTGTGTGCGTGCATATGTGCACGCCTGCCAGCCACTCATGCAGCCCGTTGGCCAACAGGCCGCGGCCTGGTAGTGGGCAACGGACCACAGGATGGGGTCTCCTGCTTTAGAGCTTTTGGTATTGTTTACCAAAGTAGAGTCTGTTTTTGTCTTCTATATCCAGAGAGTCTTAAGGACCAAGGAAATCACTGTCCTTTAAGGCTCTCTTTGGGAAACCCTTAAGAACAAAAATAAAACACTCCATGATGCATTTATTTAGGAGGTTGACATTTTTGCCCATTCTCTTTTCTATCTCTACCTACATGTTCAAATTGTTGCCCTTCTGGATAGAATTTGGCACTGAAAACCATCTACGTTAACTAATTTCAGTGATACTTTTATGAGTCCGATTTTGCATTCCCTAATCTAGTCCCCTCCAGATATTCTCAATAATATCACACTGACTGTGCCTGGGTTGATGGGAAATGTGGGGGGTCCAAGTTAGGGAAAGGTAACAATAGCTTACCATTTTCATTGGAATCCTGAGTAGCAGTGTTGGCAGCTTGCTCATTCCACAGCTGTGTGTCTAGAGTCTTCAGCTCTTCCGAAATTTCCTCCACTTTGCGCTTGGTATCAGCTGCAGCAATTTAAGACATTAGATGCTCTATAAAACTCTACCTCCCATGAAGATGTCTGCTCAATGGACAGATCATCATAATAATATCAAGATTTTCTCTAAAGGATTCTTTGTTGCAAATATTGTGTTGGGTATAGCTTTCTTTTTACAATCTTGTTGTTGTTGTTGTTGTTAATTGCGAAGTCGTGTCCGACCCATCGCGACCCCATGGACAACGTTCCTCCAGGTCTTCCTGTCCTCTACCCTCTGATTACAATCTAATCAGAACTAAAGGAAAGCTGAGAAACAGCAGCAGTGGCTGAGGAACCTTTCAAATGGACAACCTCTGACACACCACACCACACCACGGTTCTCAGACCAACAAGGATTTTGCCACCAAGTACAAAGTCATGTTTCGCGAAGGGGTCAAATATTTATTTCACTCATTAAAATGCAAATCTTTTTTTTTTTTGAAATGCGTTTTTCTGGATTTTGTTGTTGATATTCTGTCACTGTTAAAATAAACCTACCATTAAAATTATAGACTGATCATTTCCTTGTCAGTGGGCAAACGTACAAAATCAGCAGGGGATCGAATATTTTTTTCCCTCGCTGTAACTATAAAATAACTATAAAATAACTGTAACTATAAAATAAGAAAAAAGATGATCTAGACCAGCATATGACTGTGCTTATAGCTTCTACAGTCAGTTTTTGACACTGAATTTGAGAACCATTTCAGGAAAATAATATATGAGTCTTAAGTTTTCACCCTCACTAAGGGAGATGGGGAAGGGCCTTCTCCCTCTTTAGTAACAGGGTATACTTACATACTTGGGCCTTGACATATTCCACATATTCAGCAGGGCTGAGGGCTGGATGACAACGGATGGACTGAGGGGTGGCTGTGGATGGCAGCCGCAGAAACGGGTGGTGGCAGATGCGGGTGGTATGGATTGTCAGCACATAGGAACAGGACTGAGGCTCATCAACACGGGCAATGTAGTCTCCCGAACCTTCCTCACACAAAAACTGGAATCAAGGTAAGGAAAAACCAATGACACTGACTTATGAGAGTTCCAACCATTGGAACACTGTAGTCTCCTATCCTCTATTCAATATGATTCTCCCAGGCAGCATTTCTGTAGGGGTTCAAGCATCAACATTTCACATACTTCTCCCGGAAACCCTTTTAATTGAGAATACCCTGGAACCCATTCTACCTTTAAAGTTTGCATCTTCTTGGAGCTATGGCATGAAAACTATCCCAAGATTGCTTTCATGAATTAGGGAAAAGGAAGCAAAGGGAAGCGTAGCTGGATTATCTCATTTTGAAAACAGCAAGCAAGGAACGGAAATCTCTCCATAACAGTAAAATTGAGATTATCTGCTAGTCAGAATTTCAGCCTACATCAACCACTAGTTTAATGGCCTATTAAATTCTTTTTTTTTTCCTGAAATACAGAACTACAAATGAAAGAAGGGCTCTAAGAAGAAAGGTAAGGCCACAAGACAAAAATAAGTAATTCACTCAATCAAACATCTACTTATCCAAGTAGGGGTCTTCTTCTAGTGTTTTCCTTTACAAGAAATGTGGAGGCAACGATCTTATGCTACCATCTGAGCACCTGAAGTTTCTCAAGTCTGCCCTAGAGACATTGATATACACCTACATAAGAAGGAATATTGCTCTGACAGTATCTATATAGCCTTCTTCTGCAATAGCTTTCTGCCAAATTCCGTGCATCGAGTTCCCTTTCTTCTTACCCTGACTTCAGTCTCCCTGGGCTTCCCATTCAGGTTACACTTGGATCCATTGACATAGGTCTGACTGTGATACCGCTTCAACTTGTGTTGCTTTGATGCCTGCAGTTGGGGTGAGAAGCAAAACCAGAGAACTCTTCGGTCACATTTCTGGGTTCATAACTTAGAAGTTATTTCCTTCAAACTAATGGCATCCCCCTTCCCCTACATAGCTGTAGAATATAAATCTATTTAGAACCAGACTTATTTAGGAAAAAAAAAAGAAGATACATCCCCAAGGGTTCTTGCAATTTATCTCTAGCAAAACACAGAGATTTTTCTTGCGGTCCCCTGGATATATGCAAGGCTAATTATTAATAAACTGTATGCAGAGGGTAGAGAGGGGAAGAACAGGATTACTGGGGATTCCTCATGATACAACAAGCTAGAAGGCATAATGAAGCAATCCTTGGAGTAACACATCAAGACCTGAAGAGATCCCAGCCCGTTTTGTTGCAGATTGTTCAGTGAAGGAAACCTTTGGCCCCAAACTTTCTATCATGAGGCAATAGCCAATGAGAAACCCAACAACCCTTCTAGCCAGTAGTCCCACAGAAGAAAAAAAAATTAAACAAAGAACATATCTGGACTCCACAATTTGCTCCCTACAACAGGAGATTTCATTCCTTTATTTTGTATTAAATATTTCTTGGTCTCCTTCCAAGATCATTACCGTTAAGGCATTTTACAAAATAGAAACAATACAATTTAGTATCAAGCTATAAAAGAGCCTTACATTTCACCAATTTTAAATTTCAAATAAGCTATTTAAAATAAAAATACTATTTTAGATACCGTAAAACAAACTGTGTACAGTTTAAGTACACAGAGCATAAGCAAGTACATAAATTGACAGAACCAGTAAATTTCCACTAAGCTGGAAATGGTCACTTAGAATACTTGAATTTAACTCTCTGTTTCATTCAGAGACATACATAATAGAAATTCAGAGCCTTTAATGGTTCCTAGCCATGCTGTGCTTCTCTATAGTAGATCAGTCTTTGGTACCAAGGCACTTAGCATTGGCAGATAGGGAGAGAAAGGGACAACTAAGAAAAAGTGAAGTAAAATGTTTCTAACTTTATTCTAACACTTAAGTTGGGAGACAGGAGGCTTAATTTGTGTCTAAGCTCTAAGTGTTAATCTCAGGAATATCTTATCAAGACCATGGAGGAGCTAAAGGTGTGAGAAACACCCACCTTTGCTGTTTCATTGTCCCAATCAAATGCAGACTGGTAATACCCAAGATAAAGAATGTCACCTTTGACTTCAGATTCTGGAAAATATAAGGGGAGATACAGAGTCAGTAAGCAAACTGAAAGCTACAATCTCAAGAGAGACTCCCCCACCCCATGTCCAATGATAGGCATGTTAACCTTCAGCAACAAAACAAACAGTGTTGTGGTACCTTAAAAACTAACTATTTGTTTATGCATAAGTCTGAGATTCTTGATTAAGAAACATAACATGAAATGAGAAGTTTCATTTCTGCAACCTGAGGCAAAAAGGAAAGCCAGATGGTGCGCAATTCCACCACTACCATCAAGACTGTAAATTGGCAAACATTCAAATTATGCCTTATCAGTTGTACAGATGTTATTAGGCTGCAACCAGCATCTTCCCAAAAGATCCTGATCAATTGTCGGTTTCCCCCATTTCCAGAAGCCTAAAATCCATGATTACAGAATTCATGTTTTCAGACTTAGGCAAAACATAGAGATCTTGCAACAGATTTCATTTTCCAAAAAGCATGAGTTTTTACTAAAAATGGAAGTTTGTTGTGTACTATACAGTGAGATTTTAAGATTCTAGAAAGTATGTGGAGGCACAATTGTTTGCATGTATTTTCATTCAAGCAAGCTGAGGGAATCGTGGATTTGATCAAATACCTCTGCAATTAAGATTCCAAGAAACATCTTGTCCTGTGAAGAGTCCTTGAAACCACACACACGATTTTAATAATGAAGCCTAATAGTTATGGATTTTAGATTTTTCAACCACTCTCTTACACTTCAACCACACGTGCAATAAAGGAGAAGATCAGTACCTTCTACGTGGTATTGCTGGATGTGTTTCCCATAGCAGAATTCATACGTCCACCAGTCTTTAGTCTAAGAGAAAAGGGAGAAAATAAAAGTCAGAGTAACTGATTGAAACAAGAACCCTCTGAAATCAGAAGTCACCTAAAAACAAAAGCCAGAAACCTGGTGCCTTCTTGGTAGTTTCAACTCAACTCCCGTAACTCCCCAAAACTGTCCTAAAGTAGCAATATCCCCAAATTCTGCAGTCAGAAAATTCTGGGCCACATATAAAAAAAAAATAGGGTGAGCATATAATGCACCGAATCTAGCTGAAAGGTTTTAGATACCTGTAGAATTAAAAAGCCAAGCTCCATTTGGAATAGGAGAAAGGAAGCTATGGCAGTGAGTACAGCATTAAAATTCAACTGGGATATTCAATCCTCAGTAGTTTTTTAAAACAGACAACGTTCATCAGAGTCAGTTTGTTTAAATATAATTTTTGGTAGCAAAAGTTCTCTAAGTGCTCCTTTTTCAGGCACTACGGTTATTGATAAGGAAATATCAAAAATATCAATTCTGTCTAATAACAAGCAAATCTCTTCCTTAGAAACAACTGTGGGGGGAGGGAAAGTATTGTCAATATGGCATAAAAAAATAAGCAGCTAGTTTCATACTAAGCTACGGTTTATTAAATAAGATGCAAGGGTCACATTTCCACAACATGCTTACCAATGACAAATAGGCTGCATAAATTTCCATGATGTGTGAAGTCAGTTACTGTTGGATTTGGTCATTAGAAAACAAATGTATGGTCCCTGTACAGATTCACTGGGTGGCCTTTGGCAAATAATTTTTCATTTGAGCAGTCAATTTCTCCATTAATTAAAAAAAAAGGACACCAAAGGTTTATTCCCAAAGATTTGGGGGAGATTAAGGAAATAAGCTGTAAATGGATTTCACCTTACAATATAATGTGATTAAGAATAACGACAGCTTTTACTAAGATGACCTTGTTTTCTGCGTTATTAGGGATCAAAATTATCACTAATCTCCAGGAGAGATATGAGAAAGCAGATCCTTTAACAAAGCCCATTCAGTAAATGTTTTCCAAGTCTTTTGTTTGTGCCTACGTTTCCCAATGTCCCCTTAGTTTCAAACCCATCCTAAAGTTACTTTAATAAGGCATGGAGCCGCTTCCATTGGTTTCAGCAGTTCTGAGATCCCAAGTCCAGTGTAACCCTGTGGATCCTCCTCTTTGTCTTGATGGATCTTCATTGCAGCAGCTGGTAGTCGACACTCATACTTCTGCTTGTATTTGGAAGAGATGGTTACTACATCAGTGGCCTTACTCTAAAGAGAAATAAAAAAGAGAGATGGATAGAGTTGAGAATTGGCTACAGATAATAAGAGGGTGAGGATAGCAAGTGTCAAAGGCACAGAAAGAATGGGACTTGGTGAGGGGAATTTGTAATGTGGGCTTTCTCGGGCCCTTTAAAAGTTATACCACAAACCAATGAAAAGCTAAATGTGAATCTGTTCCCTCTTGGGTATTTTTCTACTCAGTGTATTTATTTCTTTTCTAGAATCTTAAAAGCTGATCATTCTACTCATCTGCTTGCTCTTAGAAGTTCTGATAAAATTTCTTTAGCAAGGGAAAGCCCACTGTGAGAATTCTGAAAAAAAAATTGACCTCATCCTTTCTAAATTCTGTGGTAAAGGCTCCAGAAAACTTCCACCTGATGGACCACTAAGCTTAAATAGCTGCACCAAGCTATTTCTTTCTGTCAGTTTTCATTTTACAAAATTAAAGAATGTACACACTGTGAATGTAGTTTGCCTATTAGATTGCAGGCTAAGGACTCAAACATGCAATCCACATCCAGACAAACAGGTAATGGACAGAGTTAGCACCATCCATTATTAAAATAAAACAATTTGGATTACATTACTAAAAGCAAAGATAAAGAACAGAAGCTTCCATCCTCCCAATAACCTCTAAGGAAATCTGGAAAATATGGAACTTCAGAAGTTGACACAATCCAGGAACTCTCAAAAGGGATCATTTTGCTTCAGGAAGTCCTGCAAAAATATATTTATGTATTGCTAAGCTAAAATATTGGGCTAGGTTTGACTAGGTTTTCTATGCTGTGCTAAATCTAATTTTCTATAACCCATATATATATTAGGGAATTCTTTTTATTAATATTTCAAACTGGCTGCTCAAAAACATATTTTCCATGGTAGGGCTTGTAGTTAATAATAGTAATGTGGAACTCTCATTATGAAATAGATCAGTATCCACTTATGAACTGGCTGGAGAACTGGATTTTCTTTTATATCAAATTGCCTGTAGTATCATCGTGATTTGGATAGGTCTGTAATGTATCTTTTTCAATATCGAATGTTTCCATGTTTAATATTTAAAGTTAAGAAAACTGTGAGAGTCCTGCTTCTCACACCCACTATGGATACAGAGTGGATGCCAGGTGAGACACTCCCTGCAAGACAGATGGTAGCTGGGATAACTATGAAGCCATTCCTCCTAAACAATGGAGATGAAGGCAGAGTGTGAAAAATCTCAAATGGGTTTTTGGGAGAGATGACTTGAGGCCTCGGGCGTTTGGCCTATGAGCTTAGCTACAGTACATTTTTAAAAAGTGTTATGCTATCTTCTTTGCATAGGTTCTTACACAATGCTGTAAATCAGTTTCCAGCATTCCAATTTATCAAACAAATTGGGTTGGGAAAAGGCTCTCAGGTACTTTCTGAATAAGTACCACAAGAGTCAATTATCACCATAATTTTCAAATCTGGATTTATATTAGCTTGATGATTAACCCAATATTTAAGTTATGGGATTCTAACTGCAACTCTGGAACCTCTCAGCTTTTATAAACTGAATTGAATGACAATACTGTACAATATACTAAGACACAGTTAGCTCAAATTACTGCTGAAGGAAAGAAAATTGCAAGTGATAGGATCAAACTACAGGTAGTCCTCAACCTACAACCACAATTGAGCCCAAAATTTATGTTGCTAAATGAGAAATTTGTTAAGTGAATTTTGTCCCAGTTTATGACTTTTCCTGACACGGTTGTTAAGTGAATCTGGTTTACCCCTTGACTTTGCTTGTCAGAAAGTCGCAGAAGGCGATCACATGATCCTAGGACACTATACAATCGTCATTAATGAGAGTCTGTTGCCAACTGTCCAAATTTTGATCATGTGACAATGGGGATGCTGCAACAGTTGTAAGTATGAAAAATGATCATAAGTCATTTGTTTCAGTGCTGTTGTAACTTTGAACACTCATTGAGTGAACTGTTGTAAGAAAAAACAGATGTAGGCAAAAACTGTACTCTGTATGTACTGTGTTCTCCTTTCAGAAGTACTTTATGGCAGCAAAAATAATGTATAAGCTGAAACCCAGTTAAAGAATTAGTTAAGGTGAAAAAAAAGATATTAAAATATTTATTTTATTTAGGGTGGTGGACAGATAGGAATTAGGCTTGGAAGGTATACTTATTTATTAGAGCCTCATTATTCAAATGAAAGGATATTGGATAGCAAGGGAACTATTGAGTAAATTTTGTAACGAGAGAATCTCTCCGGACTCTGTTTTCCGTTTTCATAACACTTCAGGTTATATAATCAAATATGCATCAACAGAGCCAAGCTTAATACGTGGCATTTCTGTGCAGTGCTACGGCCTACTTGAAGCAAAATTTAAAAAATGATATTGAGCCTAAATGTTGTCAGGTAAGGCTTTATTAATACCTCAACAAATGTTCTGTCCACAATTTCCTCAAAACTGGATCAAGAAGGAAGAAGGAATCGACTCTTTCGTATCCAAAATACTGGGAGAATGAAGGGAAGAAAGGAGGATTGGACTCTGAGCACGCCTCTTAATGGGTTTAACACTTTTTAAAAACAAAACACAGTCTAATATGTTTCTCAGGAAGTTTCATGCTTATTACCATATTCTGTGTGTTGTTTGTACAAAGATAGACTACACACAAGATCTAATAGGAGCATAGAAGAGGGTTAGATATAAACTGAGTACTCTAAACTGTCAGATCCCAAAAGCTTTAAATGAAGTCATCTTTAATGATCTTCAGCAAGATTCAGTAATTAAAAGGTAAAGATCATGTCCGACTTCAAGGCACGGTGCTCATCTCCGTTTCTTAACCAAGAGAGCCAGCATTGTCCAAAGACATTTTCCATGGTCATGTAGCCAGCATGACTATAGGCTGAGGTGCACGGAACGCTGTTACCTTCCCACTGAAGTGGTACCTATTTATCTACTCCCATCTGCACGCTTTCAAATTGCTAGGTGGGCAAGAGCTGGGGGTAGTAACGGAAGCTCATCCCATTGCACAGCACTCAGGTCTCAAACTAAGGCTGTCAGTTTTCCACCTGACAAACTCAGCGTCTTTAATCACTGAACCATTGCGTCCCCTCTTAATTAAGAAACTGCTGTTTTTAATTAACTGCAGTTCTTAATAAATTGCTGTTAATTAACAGCAATTAATAAAAGACTAATATTTTATTCTTAATATAACACCAGCATATTTTAGCTGGTTGATATTCCTCTTAGCCTACAATTCTATATCTACTTACTTAGAAATAATAGCAACTGAACCTCAGTAGATTAATATAGATACCCACTGTACTACAATCATCATCTATGGCTAAATGGAGGTTCTAACAATCTCTTCAATGCTATATTAGCATATAATTTCCCAATGTAGAATATCAGATGTTATATTTTTCTTGTGTATTAACTGTAATTATATTAATTTCATTTGTAATCTGTGCAGAAAATTTCACTTATATGAAATATTAGAAGCAAAACAAAGTCAGAATGGCTTCTACATTTCTATTTTGTGGTACACAATGCAATTTAATTTCAAAACATACCTCATTCACTTTAGGATCCTTAATAGAGACCAAAGAACTGAAAAATAAATTCTGTTCCCTATAAATGGCAGCAATTCTGTTAGGTTCAGTTCTTGTCACAGAAAAAAAAATGCAATTACAGGTAGTCCTTGATTTACTACCACAACTGAGACCTGAATTTCCATCGCTAAGCAACATGTTTGTTAGGTGAATCATGCCTGATTTTACAACCTTTTTTTGTTGTGGTCTTTAAATAAATCATGCAGACATTAAGTGAATCCAGATTCCCCATTGACTGCTTGCCAGAAGCACCCTGAGAAGGTCACAAATGGTGATCACCTGACCCTGGGATGCTGCAACCATCGTAAATGTATGCCAGTTGTCAAGCATTCACATTCTGATCACATGACCTGGGGGATGTTGTGACAGTTATAAGTGCAAGGACCGGTTTTCAGTGCCATCATAACTTCAAATGGTTGTGAGGACTGCCTATATATCACCCCACTTTGCTCCCTCTGCAGCAGCACATGGCAAGAGAATACTGCTGAGGGCAGATACATTGCTCTGGGGGCAGCATTCAAGTTTTTTCTAAAAAAAACAAAAACCCTGATAACCCTTCTAACAACTCCTGCTCATTAAGCCCAAAGGCCTTACATCAGCCAAAATTAAGCAGCTGTTTAAGGTCTGCTTCAAACAAACTGCCTACAAAATAAAACTTTGACTCCCTGCTTTCAACAAAAAGGCACAGAGCCACCAAAGGTGTTCATATATCACAGCCCACGCTGATTTCTCAAAAAGATTTATAAATATTTCTGCCTGATTGCTCAGAAAAAAAAATCTAAAGTTGACAACCAACGCAGAGAAAAAACTCACAAGGCAAATTGCTATTCATACACCTGCATTAAGTTGGCACAATCTAACATCTTGAAGGAACCTCTCCACCACTCACTAATTAGAATGGCTGCCAGCATACCATTGCTTTTCAGAACACAACTTGTGCAGTATCCCAAGGGTCATCACTTAGAATAGAAAACACACAGCAATTCCAGTCATCCCAGAAGGCCCTACCAGCAAGTCAACAGTGTCTGTGATATAGTTAATTAACATCTTCCTTTCAGAATGTCCTCTGAAACAGTACTGAGAATTGCTGCACATTAGAATTTAGAACTTCAGAGTCAAAGAAAAACAATATGCTTCAGATGGGGGGGAGAGAGTGGGGGGAGAAATGCCACAACTTTAAGTTACTGCCAATAGGTGCTACCTATACAAGTGTCCCATTTAATCCAAATTATATTTTCCCTTTAAAAGTAAAGTACCACACAGCCCAAATATTCATGGAAAATAACTATATAAAATACATTCTATTAGTTAGGTATTTTACCAAATGATTCAGGATCACAATGGCAAAAATTTAAAAGCCTCCAAAGGTTGTCTCTTTATGCAACTAGTTTAATAATCAGTAACCACAATAACCTTCACAGCCTATTAAATAATGGCACCTGTTACCACAAGCATCTCTATCTACAATACCATCTATCTTCTATATATCTTCTTTTCTATCTATTATCTCCTATATAAATAAAAATGTAAATGTTCGTTTGTTCAAAATCTTAAATCTCCGAAAGTTCTTCACCGATTGCTTTGAAATTTTGACACAACGTTGCATTCGAATACGCGCGTGTTTTTATATACCTACTATTGTATAGATGTCACACCTGTGACAGGTAAAAACATTTAACCTGTCTGAGCCACAGCAACTCGTGGCCGGGTACAGCTAGTTAGGAATAAAATATTAGGATCACCACAGTATTAGGAAATCCAATTCACATAATAATCAGATGCTTATTAAAATAAGTCCCAGGTATCAGAGCACGGAATTCTTCCAAAGTTCTCTTTGATGGTGCTGGGGGACTACTTTAGCTGATATATCTCCTTTCCCAGATTATGAAAATATCTGAAAAACACCTATGCTGTAAACAAAAGATCCACACTCATTGCTTATTTACATAAGAATGTAATCTAAATCTCAGTAGAGTGGGGTTTGGCAAATTCAGAATGTCCACAATAGCAGGTAGGAAGCACTGCAACAAATTCTGATGGGCATAATAATAGTGGAAGAGGGAATAAAGATTATAAAAGATTTAAAGTGTACAGCATGCAAATTAGATCAAGTTTGGGAGGATGGGAGTTTTCAATTCCATGACTGTGTTTCTGGATACTGGTTTCCCAAGAAACATTAGCCTTCAAACAGCAGTAGACTGACATTTACCAATGCACTTAACTGACAAAACTGGATTGTAAAGTTGCATACTTCAATGATTCTTAATTAAAGTACTTCACAGAAGATGCCAACAGCTAAGTTGCAGTCAATTCAGGAAAACATCTGGGCCAACATAGCAGAAAGATCCACACATTTCATTCAAAGTCTACTGGACATTTGATTTCTTATAAATATCCTTCATACCCCAAAATCCCAGAACCAGATTGGACCTCTAATTCCAGTCATCTGAAGTTCTTTAGTTTAGCTTACCCCAATCAGGGTATTCCCAAATGGGTCTGAAAATAACTTGCAACACCCCCATCATGCATGGTCAATGGTCATGGGTGATGGGACCTGTAGTCTAGGTTGCGGGCAGCCAAATTACCAGTAAAGTAGGATGGCCAATCTTTTTGTGTGTGTGTCAAAGTGATTTCATTAGGGATAATATGGTAGAAGGGTTGAAGCAAGCAGGGGACAAGGATTCCTTTGAATGCCCCCTTGTCATTTTCTTTCCTCTCTCCCAAGCAGTAGGCTAAGCCAGACAGAACAGTATTGCTTAGCAGAACTCTGTATTTGCTGAGGGCATTTGAAACTGGGCTAATCTGCATGGGTAGCCCAGAGTGTCAGGTGGCCCAACCTGGATGTAAAATAAGAAATGACCATATAACCATTACAAGTTATGTGACTTCTTCCAGAGTAAGCAGCAAATCAAGTGAGAAGCAAGCATACTATAGTATAGAAACCACTTGGCTTCAACAGGTTTAAGACAAGCCTCTTCTAACTACAAAGGAAATAAATGGCAATAGTGCTGAAGCTACCTCTAGTAATAAATCTTCAATTTATCATGGGCCGTGTACAGCATAGATGGTGCAATCCTCAGGTACGATGATGCAACTTTTGCCAGAGTAGTAAACATAAACCCATTGTGACACATTGCTAAGTAAATCACTATTTCCCATAAGGGCAAGGTTACATACTATAAGAAGCAGAGAGAGCACCAAAGGAGTGGACAAGGGCCTGAGATGGCCACTGTTAGCATCTGACTATGCTCAGCAAGTATAAGAATGGCTTAAAATGTCAAAAAAAAAAACCAAAGTATTAACAAGATTTTGGCAGCCTCTTCAGATACTAGATTCACAGGGGTAGTCAACCTTGGCTCTTTTATGACTCGTGGAATTCTGGGAGTTGAAGTCCACGAGTCATAAAGGAGCCAAGGTTGACTACCCCTGTACTAGAACAAAAAATGAACCTACACCAAGGACGAAGGCACTATTGTATCAAAACAGGGCTGCATTTCAAAACTTCCTCTATTAACAATTCTGAAAAGTTCTGCATTACCTTACTAATGTTCTCTATTTGAGCTAATTATAGATAATTCCGAAAACAACTCAAGCAGCTTGCTGTTCACTATTAATATTAAGCATAGATGAAACTATTTTTAAGTGTTACTAAAAATAATAATTGTTCTCTTAGTTACCAAATAAGATGACCCTGACTTTAGGTTAGGCACTTCTCATCAATACTTTGCTACACTCCTTCAATTGCTTATTCACTATATACATTAGATATTGCTTTAAGCACTAAAACATATAATCCGCTGCATTGTTTTAACTCTCTTTAAAACACAGATCATGATCTGAGTTAGACAGTTCCACTTACATGGATATGTTTTGGACATACACTGATTTTTTTAAAAAAAAATTATATTCTGATTCTGCTTCTACTGTAAGTCCAAGGATATTGAATACCCAGACATTATGTTCTTTGTATACACTGCACCATTAAAGGGCCAAACAGTATTTGTTAAAAGCATTTTAACCAATTCTTAAATAGTTTTAACGTAATGCTTTTTTCTAATCTAAGAATGAACCAAATACCTGAAAATAAACACCTATTTGGGGTAATTTTGATCCAGCAATCCTCTCACCCACTGTTGCAATAGGGGAGGCTGTTAAGAATATTGTATAAATCAGAGGTCTTCAAACTTGGCCTTTTTTTGACTTGTGGACTTCAACTCCCAGAATTCCTCAGCTGGAATGCCGGCTGAGGAATTCTAGGAGTTGTAATCCACAAATAATAAAAGGGCCAAGTTTGAAGACCCTGGTATAAAGGAATTACTTCTATCTCCCCTATCCTATAAATGGCCCAGTGAAAATTTTACTTATTGTGAGAAAATATATTGCAGGAACACCAGCCATCTCATTATCATTTCTGGAACATATTATGAGATAGACAGACTGTCTCTATAAACAACTAACCATATATTACAGATGGAACAGGTTTTATTATGTGACTTGATATAGAATTTAACAGTTTTCAGGAGCACTTATTTACCAATACATCACATTGTCTATATTTTAGGAAACTCTGTACGTTGCATTACATCACAGTAGTTCTATATGATTAGAACTCTAAATTATTTTTTTTCCATGAAAGGTGAACTTTGCACAGCAGTATCTCAGATATAACTTTTAATATTCTACTTCTGAAAACAAAAATCTTAACCAGTAACATTTATCAGGGGTGTCAAACTGCTGGCCTGCAGGCCGGTTGCATCATGTGGAGGCCATGCCCACCCCAGCTCTAGCAATGCAAAAAAAGTTGCACTACGTCGCGACACGTCATGTGACACAGCAAGTTTGACATCCGTGATTTATATAATGCTGTATCTAAAACTAAGTATTGCATTACTCCATATTTCCATAATGAGAATATTCTACCCTAAATAAACAATTCTTACAAGGTGTTGTGTGTTTCTAAAATCGGAAATAACCCACTTCAACCTCATCTCAGCCCCAGTTACCTTATCTGTGATTGTAGTACACTATGAATGTAAAAGTTGGACTTTAAAGAAGATAGAAAGAATATTGCCCTTTTTGGAACTTTGGTGTTGGAGAAGACTCCTGATACTGTGAACAGCTAAGAAAACAAACTAATGGCTCTTACTTGAGGGACAAATTATACTCAAATTATCCTACTTTGGAGACATTATGAAAGGTGGGAAAGGTGAAAAAGAAGAAGACAACAAGCAGCAATGCAGATGGACAGTTACAGTGGCAATGATTGCACCATTGGGAGACTTGCTCATCTTTATCTCTAATCTCTATGGTCGCTGGAAGTAAAAAATGACTTGATGGCACAAAATCAATCAATCCAAACAAGTCTGCATGTAAAGCATATTCTGAACCACATATGCTACTGAAATCAAGAATTAAAATGATAATTAAATACCATGTAGAAATAAACAGGTTGAAGAGAGAGACTTATAAAAAGGTAAAGGTGGTGGCGGCAGTGGCAAGAGCATATTTCATAGAAGAAACTTTAGATCGCTAAAAAAAAGGCAACACCAACTAAAAGTTCACAATTTTCCTCGTTGCACGGATTGCAATGCTCTGAACAGAGTAAATCATTCAACGTTTCTCCTCCTCTGCATTCCTACATACACACATTTCCTGCATTCTAGAGTGATCTTGGGGAAACTACCGGCACAAATTTGCCTGCTGAATAAAGGTGAGGGGTCGAGTCCTTTCGAGCCAGCTGCTTACAAACTGCATGTTCTCTTCAGCCAATGGTGGGTTTCTGCGAACGAGGGAGGATCCGGCGCACATAAGGGGCTGAAGCCACAACACGCGCGTCAGAAGACGCTCCTTCGGGTCTGCTTAACAAATCGCACTCTCTTTAGATTCCGCCGGGCTTCCGCTTTCCACCCACCCCAATTCGGCCCCAAATCGCTTTACCTGCCCGACCATCACAGGCTCCGCGCCGATCTCAATGCCATATTTCAGCTCGCTGAGCTCGTGCAGGTTCAAGGTGCCAAACGACTCGCCCTGCCCCAGCATCGACAACGCTGCAAAGAGCACAAAAAGGCCGCAGGAGGCCGACAACCGAGGCACCTCTGCCGCCATCTTCCTCTCACCGCTCCGTCCTGTTATTGCCCTGAGTGACGGCAGCCTCGGTGACTCATTCCGCCCTTTCCTTGGACTCCATCCATCAATTCCTACGGTTCTAGGAGATGTCAGTTATCACATTGAGGGCTTCCTATTGGCCGTTGTAAGGGAAGTGACTACGACGGGGAGAGTCGAGGCGTTCTTGAAAACCTGGAACAACTGGATTGGGTCGGTCCCCCGACCAATCACGATGGCGAGCGCCAGCACACGCTGCAGTTGAAAGCGTCTGATGAGTAACAATTGGCCAAGGTAAAGTCATCGTAGCAACCAATCAAGATGACGAGCGCTTGCCGTCTCGGAAGATCGCAAATGCGTGGTGCTATTTTTTTTTGAAAATCCGAAATGTATTACTTGCGCGCCTTGCGACTTCTTATGTCAGAATATAGAATCACGTCCACGAATATGTTTATGCGTTGAAATTATTCGGAAAATTCCGTCGCATAGCGTAGCGTAGGGCAAGAATACCAGCTAGTAATTAATCCACATCGTTTAAATTTGAACAAAAGCTAATGTGCTAGTATGCTGGCTGTTAGTTGTAATTTTACTGAAAGGACATATTGTGCGACATTCTGGTTTTATAATTGTTTTATTTAACAGCTGTTCTAAATTATTGCTCAAGTATTCATCCCTACTTACCAAATAACAATCATAGTTAAATTGGGCATGCCTGCCAGCTACAGAAATATGAGTAGGGCTATGCAAATACGTTCTATAGGTTTCCATGGGATTAAATATGCTTCAGAAGACATTTTGCAATTGCTCTGCTTTGAAAATGCTTCAGGAGAGCTTACCCATTAATGTGTTCTATATGTAACAGTTCCACTATTTTTTCCATCTCTTTTTGTGAGGCATTCATGAGGGAAAGATGAAAGAGGTACAGAATGCTTTATGAATGGGAGCTGTAGTAGTCAGAAATGGAAGCACAATTCAAAAAGTAGCATCTCTTTTGACCAAGTTTAATTTCTGGTAACCACATGAACCTGTTACTGAATTCTGTCACTGTTGGGCACCACATTGAGGAAGGCTGCTTGGAGTCTGTTACTTGTCAGATCTCATTGTCTGGCATAACTGCTCAGCTCAGAATCCCACTATATTGCTTCAATATACACCAGTGGTGGCGAACCTATGGCACGGGTGCCAGAGGCGGCACTCAGAGCCCTCTCTGTGGGCACACGCACCGTCGCCCCAGTCCTAGGCCTTCAGCTGGGTTTTATAAAACCTTTTCGCTTTAGGCCTCCAGTGGCGTGTGCAAAAAAAAAAAAAAGGTTCAATCAATCAGTCAATTTCAACTTCTCATGGGGAAAAAAAAAGATCTCTCAAAGTTGGAATTGATTGATTGAACTTTTTAGTCCCACCCAGTCTGCCATTACCACCGCAGCCACGCTCACCCAATGGGCCACACCCACCCAATGGGCCACACCCACCTGGCACTCGACGATGCATAAATGGATTTTGGGTTGCAGTTTGGGCACTCAGTCTCTAAAAGGTTCGCCATCACTGATATACACCCTTAAAACAGTTTTTGCAGAAGAATGCCCCAATGAGTTTAATGAAGTTTACTCACAAATAAGCATGCATACACTTTTATCCTTAGTTGACATTAATTTTTGGTGTAGAACTAGACAGATACACTGTGTGGAGAGAGTTTCCTCCTTTAAATTCCTAGGAGTCTACCTCTGTGAAGATCTTACCTGGAAAATTAATACAGCCCGAAGGTGGCCAGAAAGGTCCAACAGAGACTCCACTTCCTCAGAGTCTTGTGGAAGAACAGGGTAGAACAATGATGACATTCTTCTACCGGTGTACTATTTAAAGCATCCTTACACACTGTAATGTGGTTTGGTATGTTGGCTTGACAGCCGCCGACAGAAAGTATTACAGAGGGTGGTGAGCACGGCATACAGTAAAACATCGTGAGCTGTTCCCTGACACCACTGGATGACATCACCAGGGGCCGTTGCCTTGGAAGAGTGAGGAAAATTCTCAGGGATGACTCACACCCTGGTTGGTACCTCTTTACTCTCCTACCATCGGGTAGGAGATATAGAAATATATCATACTTATGACGGTCACAACTTGCTTAGTGACTGTTCAAAGTTACAATGGCACTGTAAAAAGTGACATGACCATTTTTCACACCTATGACTGTTGCAGCATCCCCAGGATCATGTGATTTATATTCGGATGCTTGACAACTGAATCATACTTATGACGGTCACAGTGTCCCAGGGTCATGTGATCACATTTTGCAACTTTTTGACAAGCAAAGTCAATGGCTTGGGATGTGTGGCCAGCTCATTACTCAGGCTGATGCGCATGCGCTCTCCTCTGCCTCAGCCTCTGCATGCACACAGACAGGTTCATCATGTCGCCGGTTCGCCTCACCCGGCCGCTCCGCTGTCTGCCGAAACCAGGCTGGGGTCTGGGCGGCATAGCACAGGTAATGTGGACTCTCATGCCGCTCGCAGCATCCCCTCCCCCGGAGTCCACAGTTGTGTGAAAAGAGCAAGGGCCATTTGCTGATCTCCTTCAGGGGACGCCTGTTTTTCTCCCTCCCTCATTACAAATACCTTCCCGCCACTCTGCTCTTAACAGAGTGTGGCTCTTGTCCAGCAATTTACAGTGGCCTTTGAAGCCATGGCCACTGGCGGCACAGCCGCCAGCCGCGCTGGCAGCCTGTCTCCCTCCCCTTTTCCTTTCCTGGGCATATGGAGGGGGGGAGGGAAGGAAGGGACAAAGAAAGAAGGAAGGAAGGAAGGAAGGAAGGAAGGAAGGAAGGAAGGGACAATGAGAGGGAGGGAGGGAAAGAAAGAAGGACTCTCATGCTGTGACTCTTCCCCAGCTTTCTTTCCTGTTTGTCGCTGCCATCTGTGTGCAAACCCGGCCTGTTTTTTGTCCTCTTCTCTCTCACCCCTCCTCCTTGCAGTCTTTGCAAGAGCACACCGAAGATCATCTTCCACAAGTCTATTTCTGTATTTAGACTTGATAACCAACAAGCTGGAAAACCCTGTTTCACAAAGATATGTTGTTGGAAATGGAAGAAGAAGGCGCAACACAGTCTCAGACAGAACAGGATATGACTGCAAACATTTGATCCAGAATTTTGTAACTGGCATTGTGGAGAAATCAGTTCTCGCTGCATCNCTATTTTCTGCAGTTCACTGTTATCGCTGAAAAGAGCTTCAAACTGCGGTCTTGCTTTCTGAATAAAAAATGTTTTGAGTTCCTCACAAAGCTCAAAAACACGTTTTAAAACTTTTCCTTTCGACAACCATCTCACTTCAGTGTGAAATAGCAGAGCATTGTTTGGCGCATCCAACTCGTTGCACAGTTGTGAAAACAGTCATGTGTTTAAGCTGCTTGCCTTTACAAAGTTGACACAATTTATGACGCTTTTCATTACTTCTCGTAATTCTTGTGGCAGCGTCTTTGTTGCTAATATTTGCCGATGAGTTCAGATGACTTTTGGTGACTCATTCAGTACCAAACGTTGAAATCCAGATCTACATCCTAGCATAGCTGGAGCACCATCTGTGCAAACACCACAAACCTTTTCCCAAGATATGTTATGTTCTTTCAGAAATGAACCAACTGTGTCAAATACATCACTTGCAGTAGTTGTTGTTTCAAGAGGTTTCCAAAACAGAAACTCGTCTTTAAAGTCGCCATCGTTAATATACCTCACGTAAACCAGTAACTGGGAACAGTTTGCAACGTCTGTAGATTCATCAAGCTGGATACTAAATATTGGAAGTGGAGCAGATTTAATTTCTTGGATTGCCTGATCAAGAATATCAGCAGACATGGGGACTTCCAGTGGAGACTGCTGCGGGGATGGCGGCTTTTTCTAGCCGCCCGCCTGGGGCTGCGTCAGAGCCGGCAAGAAGCAGCGATCATCAGCTGCTTCTCGGCTTGGAACCTCGTCCCTCGGGCGAAGAGGGAGAGGTGAGTCTGCCCGGATAGAGATAGAGCTCCCTCTCTCCCCCCTTTTTTTCTATGGGGGGGGATGACAGGCGAGAGCTCTCTCGGAGTCTGGGCTTTTCTCCGCACCCCATGGTGCCTTTGTTCCTTTTCCGGAGGAGCAAAGCCAGTCGCAGCTTCCACTTCTGCTATTTAAAGATTTCTGCGTGAGTAAATTTACAAGCAGACGGAACTGATCAGAAGGATTGGATCTTAGATGATTTATGACTTTAAATCAGAGAATGTTAAAGCATCTTCCTTATTTTCTAAAATTTAAGTAAGAAGAAAATGGCTGCGGAATTGCCATTTCTTTGTACTAGAAGGCGTTGCTAAGAAAAACTTTCACTCTTCTTCCGGTTACTGAATGGACAGAGATACATTGTAAAGACTTTTTTAGTTTATTGAAAGTATAAGTTTTCTCTTTTATTCTATATAATGAAGTTTTGAAAATGGCTTAAAAGGTATTGGAACCTCTGCTTTTCTCAAAGCTGTGATTTTATCTTTAGTTATTTAAACTCCACAACAGTCTAAATGTAAAATGTCTTTACTTTCACTTCACCCGTCAATTACACTTAAAGATGTACAAGACGCTTTGATGCAGATAGTACAAGAAAATATAGCATCTGTTTTTCAAGGCTTTATAGTTCATACAGATTGTATAGAGCAACGGGCGGATGAATATGCTGAAGGGATGGAGGACAGACTTGTAAAAGCAGAAGATATTGTGGAATTGGCTCAGAATGACATGTTACAATATGGAGACATGGAGCTTGCTTTGAGAAGAGGATCGAATGATATGCAGGAAAAGCTGAGAGAGGAATCTGCGACAGATCAGGTTGTGGTTTTGGCGTGCGACCCTGAAGAAATTTTGAGAGAAAAAGTTTATAGAGTTTATTTAGGGGCCGCACGTCAGAGAAATCTACCTAGAGATGTTGCTGTTTGTTTTTCCAGAAGATCTTGCTACAATGAAACCACACAGGCTTTTTATCAGCAGAGATCTCAGATAGGTTACAGATTGAATATAACTCAAAA